CGATGGAAGCTGATACTAGTAAATTATTTAATTATTTTTTTTTTTGGTAAATTAAAACCCTGTTTTTTTGTTTTTTGTTTTTTTTTTAACCAAGCAAACAGGAAAGTTTCATCAAGGCCTGCCCACCGAGTCACCAGGCAAGGCATCTCATGCTCACCTTGGCAGCCTCCAGGAAAACCTTGTCGCTGATGTGCCGAACGCTGCTGAGGATCACCGCCAGGGCCACGCCTGCAACGGGAAGCACCACCCAGAGCCACCCGGAGCGCTGGTTCTGGGGGAAATAACCTCCCCCCCACAGCCGTAGCTCCGAGGGTTATTATCTCCAAGAACAACTTCGAGTTCGTACAAACTTATTCCACCCCCCCCAAAAAAAAATCACAACAACAAACCACCAACCGACTCTTCCGAGTGCCCGAACACCGCCAGCTGCGAGATTTTAAAAGATGAGGGTTTTGGTGGTTGGTTTTTCTTACCTGGAAAGATGTAAGCGTTGTTGCCCTGGCCCGGCTTGAAGGTCCTGCCGTCCTTCAGGGTCACCAGGTCGAAGGGGCTGCCGCTGGCGAACAAGCAGCGGCCCTGCAAGGGGGGAGAGGCAGAGGAGTAATCAGTGCACCCTGAGGGGGGAAAAACCACGTTCTGATGGGCAAACTGAGTTACATTTCAGAGAATTAAAAAGAGCTACCAGAACAAACAGCAGAAGAGGAGAAAAGGTTAGAGAGACAGAAACATTACCAGCTGGAACCAAATCACTCCTGTCCGTTGATTGACCTGTAACGTTTCGCCGCCTGTCCACGTAACCCCACGGGTAGAAATAATAATTTACGGAAAATCCGAGGGAGATATCTTCTCTCCCTTTGGCTCAGACTTTGGCACCACCCCCGTGGCTCACACCACCAGCACCCCCTGAGTTTAACCAGCACCACCAGCAGCTCCTGCATTTATTTATTCGTGCCTTGGCTGCACAAGCAGCTCTGGTTTACTTGCTGTGCGAGAGACTGAAACGCTGCCCAGCTCACTGTTCTGATTAATGCAGCATCAGCTGGGAGAGATGATGAAACCATCTTAATTTGGGGGTTGTGTCCAGGGAAGGGGGCTGGAGCTCCAGGAGAGGCTGAAGGAGCAGGAGGGACCTTCTGGCTCTGCAACTCCCTGATGGATCCACGGGGGGGGGGAACTGGGAATAAGGGACAGAACAAGAACAAACAGCCCCAAGATGTGCCAAGGGAGGTGTAGATTCGATACTAATGAAAATTCCTTTATGGGAAGGGTTGTCCAGCCCTGGGCAGTGGTGGAGTCCTCATCCAGGCCCAGTAAGAGGGAGGGGAACTGTGGGTGTCACGTGGAGACACGGAATTCCACCGCGCCGAGACACGGGGGGGAAAGAGCTCCACCCGTTTACGAGTCACTTGATTTGGGATTGTGTTCCCAAAAAACAAAGACCCCAGCCCCTCTGGCCCCCCCTCACCCACCTCGGTCAGCGTGTAGGCCTCCTCCGCCGTGCACTCGGCCTTGGCCGTGGGGTTGCTGAGGGCGAACACGATGGGCCGCTCGTTGATGGCGGCCATGGCCTTGAGCACGTCGGGGGAGAAGAGCCTGCCGGCCCCTGCCACTCCTGGGGAGCACACAGAGACACAATCAGCACCAACAGCTCGTCTTTCTTACCCCCTGGGGCGTCCTGGGTAAGCCAAGGGGGAGTTACGGGCGATTCGTCCTGGCTGGGTGCTGACGGTGCCCACCTGACCACACCCAAAGCCAAGAGGTGCAGGTGGGTGTTTGGACGGTGGTTACCAACTCTGAGCTGATAAAAACACCCCCCCTCTTCCCCAGAAACTTCGTGCAGAGGCAATCGCAGTCACACCAGGAAATACCTGGAATCTTATCTGCTCTCTGCAGGTTATAAATAAACGCCTGCAGGTGCCGGTGACCCGGCGGGCATCGGGGGATCTGCAGCGCGAAACTGGCTCCTTCCAGCCTTTTCTGACCAGAGGAGCTGATTGGGGGAAGGAAGGTCAGGAAACAAAAAGCCCCAGAACAAGTCAGGTGTTTGTGGCTGCTCCCAGAGATAACTTGCACCAAACCGACCTCCCATTTTCACCAGCAGAGATGCAGATAGTCCTGGAGCCACCTCAGAGATTGAAAAGGCAGCAAACAACCCCAAATTAGGGAAACAAAGAGTGACTTTGCTCACCGATGATGGCTGAAGGCCGGAGCACGTTCACCGCCTCCACAAAGGTCTTGGGTATCTGCTCTGGGGGCCGGTGCGTGAAGGGCTCCTGATTGGAATCTACCTTTTGTTCTCGGCCCTGTGGGTGAAACATCAGTTAACTTTCATCAGAAGGACAGAGTGGGGGGGAAACCTGCACCCTGGGCGTTTCAACAGCCCTACCTGAACCAGCAAGCCGAATTTGTCGTACATCCATATCCGCCCGTAGGCCTCCTCGGCGGAGACGCCGCTCTCCACCATCGCCATGACGATGAGGTTGGCGATTCCCAGGGCGGCCTGGCGGATGAAAGGATTATTAACCAGTCACAAGAGAGAGGTGGTCACCTCCTGGGTGACAGGTGAAGGCTCCTGGGACAACAATGACACGAGTTCTTTTGTCGGCACCGCGGAGGCGATGGTGCTGATGGACCGAGGAGCGCTGCTGCTGAGAAAAGCACCGCGTGGGCGCTTCTCTCTCAGACCGTTAAAATTAACAAGATGCTCTTAACAAATCACAACTTCATGGTCAAACAAATCACAAATTTCCCCTTTAACTACACGCAAGAGCCTGACACTTGATTTTCGAGTCCTTGCGGCGAAATTCGGGGGAGCCCGAACCTCCGCGAGCTCCCCCAGCGGAACCAGAAAATCAACAGCTAAACCCGAGCCCTGAGGAGAACTCACCTCTCCCGCCCCGAGGAACAGCACTTTCTGCTCCGTGAGGGGTTTGCCGGTGGCTTTCTGCGCTGCCAGCAGTCCCGCCAAGGCCACCGAGGCCGTCCCTGCAGAATCAGCAGCGACCTGGGGTGAGCCGAGCGGACCCACGCGACGTGTCCGCGCGTGGGGGTGAGGAAAGCAGAGGGGCCGCCATACCTTGGATGTCGTCGTTGAAGGTGCAGTATTTCTCTCGGTATTTGCGCAGGAAGCGGAAAGCGTTGTGGTTCCCGAAGTCTTCGAACTGGATAAGCGTGTTCTGGCCGTACCTGCCGAGAGTTCTCGTGTTATTATCAGCAGCACGGGAAGAAGAACGACCCGTTTCAACCCCGACGCTTCACTTAATCAGTTATCTTCGGAAACAGGTCCTCCCCCTGCTAGAAACAGCGGCCCTACCTGTCCGTGATGGCCTCCATGAACTCGTCGATCAGGTCGTCGTAGACCTGCGAGCGGTCCCTCTTCTGGTACAGGCCCATGTAGAAGGGATCTTTCAGGAGCGTCTGGGGAAAGGGGACAACCGAATCTGACTCGCTGGTTTCCAGTTTCTTGAAATCAGAAAGCTGACTGCCCCGTTTCCCAGCGCTCCAGCTCCTTCCCAACGCACCCCCGTTCAGAGTAACTGTTGCTTTCTAATCACTGACATTCCACCCTTCCCTGTTCAAAAGCTGATGGCACCCACCGTGTTGTCGGTCCCGACGTCGATGCACACGGGCAGGCATTTATCCGGGTGTATCCCGGCGCAGGCCGTGTACAAGCACAGCTTTCCCACCGGGATTCCCATCCCATACACTCCCAGGTCGCCCAGACCCAATATCCTTTCTCCGTCCGTGACGACGACAGCCTGGGGGAGGGAACGACAACAACAACAACAACAACAACAACAACAAAATAGCAGGTGAAATTAGATATCATCGCTGAAATTTATGAAGGTCAAATCGACCTTCAAACCAGCTGTGGGGTTTTCTTTAAAAAAGCTCAAATGGGACGAAATAAGGGCCAGAAGTAAAATCAGGCAGTGGTGGTGGTGGTGGTGGTGGTGATGGTACCTTAACGTCGTTCTCCGGCCAGTTGTTCACGATCGACCTGATGTGGCCTCTGTCTGAGATGGAAATAAATAACCCTCTGGAGGAAAACGAAACAAACACAAAACAAACAAAAAGCAGAAATATTTAACGGGTGAAAATCAGCTGGTGATCAATTAATAAAATCATAACAGACGCACATCTACGCGCGGTTCTTACTTGGGTCTCCTGAAGATGTGCCCGTACTGGGAGCAGGCGAGGCCCACTGTGGGCGTGTACACGATGGGCATCAGCCGCTCGATGTCGTCCTGCAGCACCCTGTAGAACAGCTTCTCGTTCCTCTCCTGGATCCCCATGATGTAGATATACCTGCGAGTCGACGGGGGGAAAAAGCTTCGGTATTTGGGCTTATTTAAAGAAGAAAATATCGAAGGAAAAGTGAAAGCGAAAAAAAAAACCCAAACAAAAACTTCCCTCGTAAAATCGCAAGTCAGAGCAGTAAACAAAGCTGGGGGAAAACAAAAACAAAACAAAACAAAACAAAAGAGAGCAGCAGTCCTAAACAACCGAAATAAAAACGCAGGGTGTGATAATTACCAGGCGTGCTGATGAGTTAAAGCACAATCACACCGCGTGGGGAAAAGATAACCCGGTGGATTTACTGCAGGACGCAGCTGGGAGTTACCGTTACTGATACAACCCAAACCGAACTTTTCATCCCGAAAACGTTTTCAAAGGCCCCCGACAAGTAAGTTCTTGTTAGTCCCTCGTGTTTCCCGGGAGGAGGAGGCGCTTACTTCTCCAGGGGGTCGGTCATTTTGGCCAGGTTCTTGTGGAAGCGCAAGGCCTGGATGTCCTGGGTCTCTATTTTGGGAGGCAGGAGCCCTTGCAAGCCCAGCATCTGCCGCTCGTGCAGCGTGAAGGCCATGCCCTGGAAAAACGGAGAGGCGAGAAACAATCAGCTCCGCACTGGAGAGCCCCTTCGGGGTTGTTTAGTCTGGAAAAGAGGAGGCTCAGGGGTGACCTGTGGGTCCAAAAGCCACAAAAAGTTTCCTGCTCCGCGTTTTCAGGGCGGGGGAAGAGTTTTAATTAGTGGTTATTTAACGGAATTATTTAATGACAACAATCAGCGCAGCCTGTAAATATTTTTTTCAGCTCGGCTTGTCAGAGAACAGACTTTCACAGGCACGTGCAGAAAGCAAAGCCTGTAATTTGGGATATATTCTTGGTGTGATTAATCGAGGGGTTTCTAATCAATTCAACGCTCTTTAGGGGGAAAAATTAAAAAATCCCGTCATTAAAATAATTACTGCTTTTATGTAATTATCCTCTCTGCTGATTGAAATCACGTTAAATACCGGTTGTTTGGGCGACGCCGGTTTGAGCAGTCCACCTGCTCCTCTGTAATAATTCTAGACTGTAAAGTCATAAAATTAGTGAAGAATCAGAAAGCAAGGAAAAAAAAAGAAAAAGAAAAAAAGAACAAACCTCCCAAAACTTGGGAAACAGATTTGACACCAAATACTGAATTCAATTTATCCCTTTTTTTTTCTGCTAGTATCCTTTTCCTATCAGTAATCACAAGCCATTTGCAAACCATTGTTTCTCTTCTAATATTAAACATAAATAAATTTCAGCTGATGGTTCAGCTCCTGAACTCGAATTTCATCTTTCTGGTGGTTTTTCGGTTCGGCCTTAAATCTTTTTGGGTTTTCCCTCGCGCGCCGACTTTCACTGGGATTAGTTTCCTTAATCCTCTTTAGGGCTCAGAAAACAAACAAAAACAAACAAACAATCAAAAAACCAGGTGTCCCACAGACAAAACAAGGAGGGAATCCGGGCGGGAAAACCCAAACGAATTAATTACTGCACGCGGGAAAACTTTCCCAAACTTTTCTGCTGAGGAGGGGGGAAACAAAGTTCACTGTTGCACAAGATGCCCGCGCTGATAACTGATAAAAAGCTCGTTCAGAAGAACCAACTGATAAAAAGCTCGTTCAGAAGAACCAAAGGTGTCGTTGTTGGATTCAAAGTTTCTCTGCCTTTACCAGCGGGGGGTCAAGGTCAGAAGAACAGGAAATCCCTGATTTCCTCCCTCCTTTCGCTTCTTCAACTGGATTTTGACACCTTGACTCTCCCTCCCACCCCGGGAGCAGCCGCGGGGTGTGGCTGATACAATCCCCCGCTGAATTGTGGTTGTTTGGGGACGGTAATTGCGGACCTTCACCCTTTGGACACCTCCACCCTCCTGTTTTGCAGGCAAAGGTGCCACCCACACACGCAGATCGCTCTGGCTGATGAACCGCTCTCGGCCAACCCGCACCCGTCTCGTTTCCTAACATCAGCTAAAAGCAGAAAAGGCTGGCGGGGGAAGAATCAGAAGGAGAAGAGAAAGCCTTTGGGGGTATTTGGTGAGACACCCCTGAAAAGAAATCGGGGCTGGAAAACCCGGGAGCGAGCGCAGATAAAACCGCGATTAATCTACCGCGATTAATTGGACTGCTAGTAATCTAACGGACCAGCAAAATACCACACGGGAGACGATGGCCACCCACACGGAAGGCAGACTCACTAGGAAAAGTTCCTCGAGATCAGCCTGGGATTCATTTACCACCTGCCAGCCCCTCCTGTAAAATTCATCGTGCATTTCGGGCCCGTGCACACACGCAGATAACGTGTGGATGTGTGTTCCTGATGCTCTGATGAAGCTACAAATCTGTCAGCGCAGGAGAACGGTGATTAATGAATTCAGGAAAAGAAAGAAGGGGCATCACCAAAGTCTGGGGTGGCGGACTCACAAATCATCAGTTCTGCGCCGGAAGAAGAAATCCCGGCCCATCTGAAGGAATAAAAATTTAATCATCAGCACTCGAGCGGAGGAGGACGGGCGAGAAAAGCAGGAAAATTCCAGGGTTAAAAAAAAAACCCAATAAAAATAAAAATATGGAAGGATGCTGCCACTGGAAAAACCAGTAAAAAAACGAGCTATTGGTTTTGTTTCTGAATGCTGTTGCGTAATCATCATCATCGTTTGGAAAAGCTTACAGGGGTTGAAGTAATTTCCATGTCAAAGTGTTGGCGGCTCAGAAAGACCCGAGATAATCTGACCCTGACAAATCGCAGCAATCGACTCTTTCCTCCTTCCCCTGACACAGCAATCCCCTCTCTCAGAGGCAGGGAGGGTTGTCATCCCCTCTCCTGACCCCTTCAGGCTGCTGAAACCCCCTCACCTGGTTTCTTAGCGCTTTTAATCAGCACATTAACGGGTTCCAAAATTCCTGAAGGCCACTACTACCAAATTAATTTCAGGTGCTCGGGTCAGCCTCTGCACAGGGATGTTCCTGGGTGATGTGGCTCGGTCTCCCAGGAAAAAAAAGCAGGATTAGGGGCAGAGAGGCTGATGCGTCACCGGCGAGACATCTATCTACAAACCGTGACCTAAGGACTGCATGTTAGCCAGAGCTTGACTTCAGCTCCAAAGAAACCAGCCAGCAGCCAGCAACCCTTCACCTGGCAGCGGAATCAGCAGCAGAAGCGCCAGTGGGGAGTCCACCTTTGGGAACAGACCTTGTTGGTCCGCGGGTTGAGCATCAGCGGCTTGCCCTTCTCCTTGGTGTGGAGGAGGCGGCACGGCGAGGCGGCTGCCCTCAGTCGGGAGAACATCCTCTGCTCCTGGGGGGTGCTGCACCTGAGGGGGGCAGAGAAACAAAGCACAAGTCACAGGGGGGGCAGAGGAATCAGAAATCAGCACGCGCGCCAAGCGATGATATCACCCGTCGATGATAACGATGATAACGGCCGGAAATCGCGCGGGAACAGAGGGAAGGGTTTGGGGATGCTGGGGGGGTGTTTTGGGACTCCCCCCTCTCTCGTCTTCATCTTCCAGACCTTCTAGGCCTGAAGGTTGTTGGGTCTCTGGTTGTATCTTCTTGCACGGGGGGTTAGGATGTTGCGCCTTGAAAAAGGAGATTAAATACGCTCAAGAATTTAGGGGATCGACACGGGAATGGGTTTGAGCTGGTGTGTTAAAGGGTGATATTGCTGCTACTCTAAAATCTACCTTTTCCTACGTAACCGCTTCGAAGATCTACAGAAATTAAAGATAAAAAAAAAAATCAAAACATCAAAACTCCCAAGGTATCAGCCCGAACGTTCAGGGGTACAACAGCCAGAAATGGGGGGAGAGACCCCAAAATTGGGGATCAAACCCCCCGAAACGGAGGGGGAAACACCCCAAAAAAGGGGACAGAGACCCAAAAATGGGGAGAAAACACACCCAAAACCAGCGAGGAGAAAAACCCCAGAACGGGAATATAAAACCCCCCCCAAAACGGAGATTAAACACCCCAAAAACAGGGAGGAGACACCCCGTGGTTGGGATTTTTAACGTCTTCCAGACGGGAGACAAAAATTGGATTAAGGAACGAAAACTTCATTATCTCAATGCTTCGGAAGACCTTTCTAATAATCAAATCGACGCGTCATCAGCTTTTTAAGAGGGGGCAGAGACCGGACTACGGGGCTGAGGGTTTTCTCGGAAATAGAGCAAAGAGGGAGGATCGAGTTTCACTTTCCACTTAGTCCCTCTGTTTAGATCCAGGAGATATGATCCCCGATGGATTTAGCATTAAACCCGACTGGTTGCTGCTCTCTCTCCTTCTGATCGTCCCCCTGTATTTCTGTTTCGCCTCACTCACTCCCCCCCCCCGCGTATCAGATCGCAGCTCTTATCAGCAGGCATCTGCTCCGGGTCAAACTAATTACCAAGCGCCCTTATCTGGGAGCAAACGTTTTTTTTTAGTTGTTGTTGCTGATTACAGACTCGTTAAATTGCAAAAGGGGGAGAAGGTTCACCGCGTTCTTCTTCGGGAGAGCCGTCAATTAAAAGCCAGGTCTGCTTCGATTACTGACCTGTGGGTCCCACCTGATTGCTCGGGGTCCCTCCCAGCGGTGGAATCCCGTGTCAATGAAGAGTTCCAGCCCTTCTTTCATCTACAGGAATGGCCCCGTGCCACCACTTTTTTTCTGGCTGTTTATTTTTTAAGCCAGCAACAAGCAGGCAAGCTTTGCCTTACCCCGAGCATGACACAAACCAGGCACACGCACCGGCTGGTTTCATCACCTCAGCAGATAAAACAGCCTGAAATTATTGCACCGACTACAAAAGGGGGTTATTTGGGAAGCCCGACAGCATCAGAAAACCTCTCAGCACGAGCAGAAAGTTGAATTACCTGCTACTGAAGCAGAACCAAACCCCACCAGAGCGCTGTATTTCTGTACATTAATCGACCTGACCTAAATATCCCGACCCTTGAGAATCAGAAAGTGGAAACTGCAGCAGCGTTTTTGGGCCCAGTCTGACAAGAAGACGTGTTTCACACCCTCGACCCACTGGAAGGACAACTAAGCAGAAAGCACAAAGAAGAAACGGAGCTGCCTGCTGATTCGGCGACAATCGGGCGAACCACGAGCCCGCGCCAACCACCTAGAAATTCTTTTAAAAAAAAAAAAGAAAAAAAAAAAAAAACAACGCTTAAATTACAGGGGAAAACCCGAAAAACTATCGGGCCAACCAGCAAAGCTGCTGCTCCTCCTGCCGAAAAACGGGAGGTGCTAGTGAAGGCGAAGATTCCATCGGTACTCGCTACCACGCGCTTTTTTGGCAGCTTCCTCCTTTAAGTTTGCAGGAGAAGAAAAATCTCCCAAATCTCGCCCTGGCGTTGCTGACTCACAAGCCGCGGAAGATTCTCTCCAAAATTCAAGCCCGGGGTGAATTATTTTTATTGGCAGGTGTGTGTTATCGCACCAAACACCTGCGAGAGCCCCCCCCCCCCCC